GCCCTGGCATCATTCCCCTACACTGGGGCACAGAGCTGCCACATGACCAAGGGCCTCCCCTCCCACCGATGCCACACAAGACCATCCTCTACTACATATGCAATGGAACTATGGGTCCCTCTATGTGTATTCTTTGGTTGGTGGTTGGTGATTTAGTCCCTGGGAGCTCTGGGGGGTCTGGTTGATTGATATTGTTGTTCTTCCTATTGGGTTGCAAATCTCTTCAGTCCCTTCAGTCCTTCCCCTCACTCCTCCATTGGGATCCCTGTCCTCAGTCTGATGGTTGGCTGCAAACATCTGCATCTGTATTGGTCAGGCTCTGTCAGAGCCCCTCAGAGGACAGCCATACCAGGCTCCTGTCGGCAAGCACTTCTTGGCTTCAGCAATAGTGTCTGGGTTTGGTGTCTGCAGATGGGATGGATCCCTCCCAAGGTGGTGTGGTCTCTTGATGGCCTTTCCTTCAGTCTCTGACCCACTCTTTTCCCCTGCATTTCCTTTAGACAGGATCAATTCTGGGTTAGTACTTTTGAGATGGGCTATTCCTAATCTTCATACTTAAGCACAAGTCTACTCTGCAGAAAGCTGACCAACCAGAAAGCCAGTGGCTCTGTTAGCCAGAAGCCGCGGTTCCTGGTGTGCTCTTGTCCCCATGACTGAGGTGACAAAGGAGGTTGTACTCAGACCCCATCAATTTGGAGGAGGATGATCACTGTTCAGTAAAGAGCCAGCTCCATTCCTGAGAAGCCTTCATTCCATCACTCATTCATTCATTCATTCATTCATTCATTCAAACACTGAGGACAAGATGTAGCCATGCCTGCCAGGGTCGGACTTGGGAAAAGCAAGGTTTGTGAGTTTGACCATTGGGTCAGGTATTTTCATTCCATGATCAGTGGGAGCCTCAACCAATCAGATAACTGGGGAAAAGGAGAGCTGTTAGTACAGGGCTGTGGGTTGGCTAAGACATGAGCTCTGACTGAACTCAGAGAAAGAAAGGAAACTGGCAAGGCAAAATACCTTTTTGAGCAAGAGTCTTGGGCAAGAGAGGAAGAGAATGAACTCCTAAGAGGTGAATCTGCCATTGCGGAGAAGCGGGTTAGTGGTGAGCTTCATTGTGTTCCTTAGACCCACAGAGCCGGGAGCGTGACGCTACTAGAGACCACGAGAGGCACAGAGACACCGAATCCTGCTGGCTCCTATAGTAGGTGCTGAGAGTTTGCATTTCACTGTCAGTGTACTAGAAAGCCATTGCCTGAGTTAAAACAGAAATGTCCTGACCTGGCCCGTTTTACATAAAACGTTCTGGCAACAGGACATAAGTTCAAACCCAGCCTGGGCTACGTACAGAAGATCCATCTAAAACTAAAGAATATTCTAGAAGGCTGGGGTCAAAAGGAGAGAGAAGGCCATAGTCCATCCTAGTGGACAGTATGACAGCTCTGTCTGAGCAGAGGGAAGTGTGGAAAAGAAACGGTCTCACCAGCCCATCACTGAGACACAGAATTGACAGGGGTTGCTCACGTGTTCCCGGTCCTGGGGGTGGAGGGTTTCAAACAATGGTAAAGGGTGGGAATAGAAAATGGGGTGACAAGCGTGATCTTCAAGCCAAAACTCAGCAAGAAAGGTTCTACTGAGCGCAGCTCTCTCCCTGTGCCTGAGTGTGCTAGTGAGAACTCCTTCTGCTAAGCAAGTACTCATAAGAACGAATTTGCCACTCTTTCAGCCAGAGTCACACATGATGCCAACTCATTAAACAATTCATCGATGGCAAGAGAGACAGACCTTCATTATGCGGCCCAGTCACCGGGCTTCAGGCTGCCACTGCCTGCTCACCTCCACTGCCGGTGGCAAACAGAATCACTCGGATCAAGTGAACAATTTCAAATGTTTAATATTAAAATGCGGTTTTGAGAAACTCCTCGGAACCCTAAGCCATTGTTAAGACACACTCTCTTTGACAGGTGTGCCGGCACTTTTTTTTCCCTATGAGGCTTTTCAACGTGTTATTTTATCATCGGGTGCATGAGATTTAGTCTATTCTGTGGAAGCAAAGAGACAAAAAAGGGTCTCTCAGCACGAGTTACTCTGCTGTAAAGGTTATAGTAAACATGTCAATGCCTAATTAAGCAGAAAATTTTATCTGTATTGTGGGGGAGGAGTGTGCTGTCTCCGACTTTTCTTCTGGGGAACCCATTTAGAAGGACAAAGTAGATTGGGAGGTTGAACGGGTCCAGGAACTCAGCATCCAAATGTCAGCAGAAGCAGAGGAAAGTGGGAAGAAGTAATGCTTCTTATCCCTTGCTGGAAAATCACAGTATGGGCTGACAGAATGTGTGTGTGTGTGTGTGTGTGTGTATGTGTGTGTGTGTGTGTGTGTGTGTACATATTTTCTCTCCATGATCCCACTACCCATAAGCAGAGTAACAATATGTTACAGCCTAGAATAGCCATGGGTAGTGTTGTTGATGTGGTATTTGTCTCAGAATCATAACACCCATTTGCTTTTCAAAAGTGACCACAGTTATTTGATAAAGTTTGCCTGATTTCACTTGCAGATGTGATATACTATGTCACCAAACTTGGTGGCTTTTGCCTGTAATCCCAGCAACTAGGAAGGGGAGTTATGTGAACTTACAGCCAGCCTGGGACTACACAGAGACACTCAGAAGAAACAACAACAGCAAATTGATCATATTTGTTGGCTAAAATGTATCTGATTTTTGAAGTACCTTTTTATATCTTAGGAAACTTTTCTTTCTTATAATTAATAACTTTCTCCCTGAGTGTAGCAGTCTAACACCTCTTTAAAATACTAAATTAGTCCTGGGGGAAAGGGAAGAGGCGATGAATGGCAGGGGCGGCCTAACGCCTGACTTGGTTGTTTCAAAACGCAGTTTTCTTACGAGAAGTGGCCGCTTATTAATGGCTGCTTGGCTGGATGGAGTAGTTCTCCTTTCTTCCAATCAATTCACGACACTAGAGACCAGCAACACCAATTTAATGAAAAACTCGCTTGTCAGCTTGCTGGGGAAGCAAAAAAATACCACACCAATAACAATAAAATAACAAACACAACCATAAAACTTGTGGCCATTCTGAACTTTTACATTTTATCTTGTTTTATGGACTCCCGGCCTCAAACTCATGGGCTCTTGTCTTCCGCATTCCCACAGTCCTCTCTGAGGAGGTGGATAGCTGCTTAGCAATCGACCAAATTTCACTGCCAACCTGGGAAGGTTTTCTTATTCATTAGGGTGGCAGTGGAAACGGGCAGGGGCGGGGAGGGAGGTGTCCTGTACAAGACAATGGATTCTTTTAACAAACAGGAGGGGGAGTGTGGGGGGGGACCCTGCATGCTCTGCAACTTCCTTCATTCTGAAGCCTCAGTTTCCTGACCTATGAAAAATAAGCAACAACACTTGCTGTGTGTGGATATGAAATAAATGCAAAAGATTGTGCTTGTAGACTGGAAGAATGGTTCAGTGGTCACTGCATAAGTGAGAGGATCAAAGTTTGGATAGCAAGCACCCATGTACACCCCCACTCCAGGTGCTCACCCTCGTCCTAGCCCTCACCCTCGCCCACACCCTTGCCCCCCCCCACCAGATACCTCCCTCCCAAGCTTTCGGCTTGGCTTATGAGAAGAATAGTTCCTGATCTTGGGTTTCTCTCTCCCCTTGCCATCAAGAGGGACAGCGATGTTTTATGAGGAACCATTACATTAAGATCATGCTAGCCTTGCACATCTGAAGCTGGGTCTGCTTTGCATGGGGACATTTTTGGTTATAGCTTACCCGTGTGACTCTAAAAGCCCAGGTGGAGAAAATGAACCCATGGGCATAAATAGCCACAATCCCCATCGGCACTGATGGGGATTTGCCCATTAATTCTCTTTCGCTCCTGCTCTCTCTCTCATGCCTGCATTTTCCCTGTGCAATTATTGGCCCTCGGTCCTTTCAGAGAAGGGAAAGCATGCATTCCCCAATAGCATTTTGCATCCACAAATCAACTCTGTAATTGGCATCTCGTGACGGGTACCCACAAATCACGGTGCATTTGAAATTACAGGAACAAGATCGAGAGAGTATTTTCAGCCGTGTCTGGAAAGGTCTTCATAAACCCGTGAGAGAATAATAGACTGGCCCCCAAATCTCCCGTTCTGACACCATTCACCATTAGTTTAAAATCATTGTATTTGCTGAGCTTACATAATTTTTCAGCCATTGGTGGGAGACAGTATTTGCATACGCCATCCTCTCTCTCCTGGCAACTCTCTATAAACAAAAATGTTGCAACAGAAAGACACAGGCTATCGAGGCTATAATGGCTATGTATCTCGGTTCCTAGTTGGATGAATTCAAGCCAATACTCCCAAGTGTCTTGAGGCAGTTTGCCATGGAGATGTAAGGACCGAGCTCTAACGTTCTTACAAGCCAGCATTCTCCTGTACCATGATGTCAATAAGATTTGCATTTCAGTCTAGGTTTCCAGAGAACCACACACATGAATTTAGCCACTGCTCCTTTACAGGAATATCAGGGTGATAGTTGACCCCTACATTGTTAAGTTGTGATCGTAATCATTCATAGAGAAGTATGCCCTTGCCAAGATAAAAAGGAATAAGCATCAAATGGCACAGAGGACATCATTTGGGGCCTGGCGATGTATTCGGCTGGCATCATGCTTGCCTAGCGTGTATGGAAGCTGGATGGTGTCCTCAGCATCACGTAGACTAGACATGTAAGTTCAGCACTGAGGAAGTAGAGGCGAGAGGATCAAAATTTTATGTCCTGCTACATAGCAAATTCCAGGCCACCCTGGGCTACAGGAGACCCTGTCCCCAAATAAAACTCAAGCATTTATCGTTTCCCCTGTTTTTGTTGAACTTGGTAAAAGTATGGATTGCATTGCTATTCAGTTGAGGCTGGGTAAGCAGGGACGTGGGGATGGAATCTGTCAGCTGTTGGTACATTTAGTTCACCTCTCTGTATCTCCTGCAGGGTATGCCCAGGAGGAAGCACTGAAGGAAGAGGAGGAAATCAAGGAGGAAGAGGAGGAGGAGGAAGATAGTGGCTCTGTGGCTCAGCACCAGGGCAGCAATGACACCGGGACAGATGAGGAACTAGAAACCGGCCCAGAGCAGAAAGGCTACTTCAGCTGCCAGAACTCACCAGGGAGCCACCTGTCCAATCAGGACGCAGAAAACGAATCTCTCCTGAGCGATGCCAGCGACCAGGTGTCAGACATCAAAAGCATCTGTGGCCGAGATGCCTCGGACAAGAAAGCAAGCACTCACCCCAAGCTTCCAAGTGAACCCCATAACTGCATGGATAAAATGACAGCTGTCTATGCCAATATCCTGTCAGATTCCTACTGGTCTGGCCTGGGCCTCGGCTTCAAGTTATCCAACAGCGAGAGACGGAATTGCGACACCCGAAACGGTAGCAGCAAGAATGATTTTGATTGGCACCAAGACGCCCTGTCCAAAAGCCTCCAGCAGAACTTACCTTCTAGGTCTGTCTCTAAGCCCAGCCTATTCAGCTCTGTCCAGCTGTACCGGCAGACCAGTAAGCTGTGCAGCGGCTCCGTGTTCACCGGCGCCAGCAGGTTCCGCTGCAGGCAGTGCAGTGCAGCCTATGACACTCTCGTGGAGCTGACTGTGCACATGAATGAGACAGGCCACTATCAAGATGACAACCGAAAAAAAGATAAGCTCAGACCCACGAGCTACTCGAAGCCCCGGAAAAGGGCCTTCCAGGACATGGACAAAGAGGACGCTCAAAAGGTTCTGAAATGCATGTTTTGTGGCGACTCCTTCGATTCCCTGCAAGATTTGAGTGTTCACATGATAAAGACAAAACATTACCAAAAAGTGCCTTTGAAGGAGCCAGTACCAACCATTTCCTCCAAGATGGTCACACCAGCCAAGAAGCGTGTTTTCGAAGTCAATAGGCCTTGCTCCCCCGACTCCACAACAGGGTCACTTGCAGATGCTTTCTCTTCCCAGAAGAGTGCTAACCTGCAGCTGCCCTCCAACAGCCGCTACGGCTACCAAAATGGAGCCAGCTACACCTGGCAGTTTGAGGCCTGCAAGTCCCAGATCCTAAAGTGTATGGAGTGTGGCAGCTCCCATGATACTTTGCAGCAACTCACCACCCACATGATGGTCACAGGCCACTTTCTCAAAGTCACTAGCTCTGCCTCCAAAAAAGGGAAGCAACTCGTGTTGGACCCGCTGGCTGTGGAGAAAATGCAGTCACTGTCTGAGACCCCAACCAGTGAGTCTCTGGCCCCTAAGCCATCAAGTAACTCGCCCTCCGAGTGCACAGCCTCGACCACAGAGTTAAAGAAAGAGAGCAAGAAGGAGAAGGGAGAGGTCAATGAAGACGAACAGGGTGTGAAAAGCGAGGAATATGAAGACTCTCTACAGAAACCTCTCGACCCTACCATAAAATACCAGTATCTAAGAGAGGAGGACTTGGAAGATGGCTCGAAGGGCGGTGGGGACATTTTAAAGTCGCTGGAAAATACTGTAACCACAGCCATCAACAAGGCCCAAAATGGTGCTCCCAGCTGGAGTGCATATCCAAGTATCCACGCAGCCTACCAGCTGTCAGAGGGCACCAAGCCACCCGTGGCAATGGGCTCTCAGATACTGCAAATCCGACCCAACCTTGCCAACAAGCTGAGGCCCATCGCACCCAAATGGAAAGGCATGCCACTCGGCCCTGTGCCCACAAGCCTGGCCCTGTATACTCAAGTCAAGAAGGAGACAGAAGACAAAGATGACGTCATGAAGCAGTGTGGGAAGGAAAGTCCCCACGAAGAGGCAACTTCTTTCAGCCAGCCTGAGGGCGAGTCTTTCTCCAAAATGGAACCACCTTCAGAATCCAGAAAGACTGAGCTGTGTCCCCTGAAGGAGGAGGAGAAGCTACCGAAAGAGAAACCAGAGTCGCTAGAACCAGTGTCTTCTCTGACCAACGGATGTGCACCGGCTAACCACACCCCGGCCCTGCCTTCCATCAACCCACTCAGTGCCCTGCAGTCTGTCCTGAACAACCACCTGGGCAAAGCTACCGAGCCCTTGCGTTCCCCTTCCTGCTCCAGCCCCAACTCAAGCACAATCCCCATGTTCCATAAGTCCAGTCTCAGCGTGGCAGACAAGCCAGTCATAAGTCCCACCTCCACCAGGCCGGCCGCCAGCGTGTCCCGACACTACCTGTTTGAGAACACCGACCAGCCCATTGACCTGACCAAGTCCAAAAGCAAGAGAGCAGAGTCCTCACAAGCACAATCCTGCACGTCCCCACCTCAGAAGCATGCTCTGTGTGACATTGCCGACATGGTCAAGGTCCTCCCCAAAGCCACCACCCCAAAGCCAGCCACTTCCTCCAGAGTCCCTCCTGTGAAGCTGGAAATCGATGTCAGACGCTTCGAAGATGTTTCAAGCGAAGTCTCTACTTTGCACAAAAGGAAAGGCCGGCAGTCCAACTGGAACCCGCAGCATCTTCTCATTCTGCAAGCTCAGTTTGCCTCGAGCCTCTTCCAGACCTCAGAGGGCAAATACCTGCTTTCTGACCTGGGCCCACAAGAGCGGATGCAAATCTCAAAGTTCACTGGACTGTCCATGACCACGATCAGCCACTGGCTGGCCAACGTCAAGTACCAGCTTAGGAAAACGGGTGGGACAAAATTCCTGAAAAACATGGACAAAGGGCACCCCATCTTTTACTGCAGTGACTGTGCATCCCAGTTCAGAACCCCCTCTACCTACATCAGCCACTTAGAGTCTCACCTGGGCTTCCAAATGAAGGACATGACCCGGATGGCAGCTGACCAGCAAAGCAAGGTGGAGCAGGAGATCTCCCGGGTGTCATCGGCTCAGAGGTCTCCAGAAGCAATAGCTGGCGAAGAGGACACAGACTCTAAGTTCAAGTGTAAGTTATGCAGTCGGACATTTGTGAGCAAACACGCAGTAAAACTCCACCTAAGCAAAACGCACAGCAAGTCACCCGAACACCATTCTCAGTTTGTAACAGACGTGGATGAAGAATAGTTCTGCAGGTATGGGGTTTGCTCCCAGGTGACATTGACCATGGCCTTGTGAGGAACGTGTTAAAAGGAGATAGGTCTGCTTAGAGGCAGAGGACGTCTCCCGAGGCCTCACAGGACCGTAGTTTGCTGCCATAGACTTACTTTTACAAAAGACAGGACACGATGAGTGGGTCCTAGTCATCCCCCCCCCCACATCCTCCTGTTTAGCGGGAAAGCAGGATACAATGTTTCTAAGAGAGATGAAGCCCACGGTTGCTCACAGAGCTCCAGGACACGATTCCCTTAGCAACCTAAGGCCCAACCTCCAAGGTCCAGCTTCCCCTCATTTTAATTAACAAGGACTAGATTCCATTTTGCCATCTGCCTTCCCACAGCAATGCGTAATACTTACAGAGTGGGGAAGAGGTGGCACCAGAATGAAGACGGTGGGGGAGGGGGACTTCCTAGGGGCCGTTATATACAGAGATAGCTTAATCAGTTCACGAATGGCTTAATGGTATCTTTATTATCAGCCCTTGCAATGATACATTTGGTAGCCTGCTTTTATCGATGGCTACCTCTGCGTTCCTTCTCTGTTTCCTTCCTACATTCATTTTCCTACAGAAGAGCAGGGACTCTTAAGGGGGAGCCATCGGGATCCACTCCTCTATGGAGCAGGGAGATGAAAATGCCTTTCGATTTTCTTTAGGATAAACTCGGGATCCGAGTCCACCTTTAACAAAGACAGATCCGAAACATCCCTGCGAGCTTATTTCACATATAGAGATGGATAGTTGAAGCTTTGTGTATGGTCAAGCGAGTAGGGTCCGTCCCACAGCTCCAAGATATTTTTATTAAATTGGGCTGCAGGTACACTTTGGTAGCAGATTACTTACCCAGCATACATAAGGTCCTGGGTTCAAGCCCCAGTACCAAAAGGAGAAAAAAATGAATTCGTACCATGTATCATACAACTTCATGCCTTGCTTTCTTACCAATGCCCAAGTCACTTATGTCACCTCCAGGAGAAAGGACAGAGACCAAAGGCGAATACTTTATAGCAAATTAGTCACGTAGGCTGCTTCTAAATATTGAGCTTTAAGCAAGGTTGGATGTCAAAAAAAAACTCCTTCACAGGATTCCTCTGCTTCCTCTTCTCTCCCCTCCAGCATGACACGCCCACATGCTAGGGACCCCAACACATGTTCTGATCGACCTCTGCCTGAGGCACCCCAACACAAGGGCCCAACATGAACTAACCATACTGTACTTTGCAGCCCAGCATATGCCCCACAGCATTACGGAATTGCTCTTAATTAATTCCCGACAAGGTGTGGAAAGCTTGTCGTCCCTCACCACCCCCTCTTCTCAAAGCTTTTACTTTTACACAGGAAACTTTTGGGTCAAGCTGTACAGGTGCAGATGCTAAGGCAGTTCCAGATAGACAGAGGTCCTGTATGATGCTCGGAGCGCTCCTCACAGAGCCAGAGAGCTTCCTAGTGGAAGGATAGTCAAAAGGAAAGAGAAATAATGTGCTTGACTCGAGACTCTTCCCTCCAGGTGGAAATCCATGCTTCTGATTTGGGTGGGCCCCCGAGAGGGCTACCCCTACTGTTTGCATGCCTTTATCATGATAATTAAATGTTCCGGGCAGATTCACCTCCGGGTTTCTGAGCATGACTGTACATCTTACCTTATTGAATGGAAGGCTATTTTGCAACTGTTGAGCTCTGGGTTCTGCCACATGCTATTTATTTACCATATCACATTTTAAATTTTTATGTAATTAGCCATTATGCTCTTCTGGTCCTTAAGGAAAAAAAAAAAAAGGTGGACATACATAAAAAAATCTAGAGACAAGAAGTATGTTTTAAATCTAATAATTGTGGGTCCAAACCACGGCGAAGAGAACAAATAGGTGATGTTTATTTTGTGCTATAATAAAGACCAATTTTCCACCTGTTAGGTTTGTAATCATTTTTTAACTGCGATATGTAAACTAGGAAGCAGGGAGCAGAAGGAAGGTCTCATTCCAAGTCAAAATCTGAAGCGTACACTATCTGTTCTAGAGAAGCAAAAGTTGACCAATAATTTGGGGGGTATAACACAGAGGTTGCCTGTAAGTCTGGGAGACACATGGGTGAGACTGCTATCTTTGGGTCTGTCTCCATTTGTACAGAATAAATACTTCTACTTTATGACAGTGTTGTCATTATATAGAACACGAAAGCTCAGTCTTTATGCAAACATAGCCATCTTGGGGTGTCTGACAGGGTTGCAGAAAGAAGACGGAACTCATTCCATCCAATGGGAGTGTGTCATTTATGTAGAAGAGAGGATATGGGTCCCCATGTGTTTGTATTTAGATGGAGACTATTCTGGTTTGCTTGAATGCTTGTCCCATCCCCTGTGGGTGACAAGGTGGTATCTTGAAGTTTGGCTCACATAGGAAAGAGCACTTCCCCACTTTGAGTACTTGACTAGAGCCATGTGTAGACACCTTGCCCGCCCTTCAGAGTTTATGCACAGGATAGCTTGGTTTCATTGTTTTTTTTTAATTTTATAAACTTTATATATGTATGGTTTTAAATGGTTACGGAATTCTCTCATCACCCGAAATTCTAATCTTAGCTGATATGGAGGAGAGTACAATGTTTGAAAAAAATGCCATGATGTTTTATAAAACACATCAAGATACAGTGGGGTATTTAAGAGTGTACCATATCTACTCATTTCTAAGTGGCACGAATTTCTACCTGAATTTTCTTTCCTTTCCTGGGCCCACCTCTAATCCTGGGAATACTCTGCCAAATAGCAAAATCAAACTTTTCATTTAAATTTCCTTGGAAAGTATTAAATGGGCACTCCCTCTTTTAGGACATAAGTAATCTAAAACAATTCCCCCATGTATTTGTCTATACCTTTAAAAGTCTCTGGCTCTTGACTGGAAATTAAACAGCGAGTAAATCATTGAGTCTCGAATGCATAAGGACTTCAAATTATAGTCATTACCTCGTAATATAGTGTATGCGTTTAACGGCACACCTAACCTTGAGACTGCTGGCAGAAATGTATTCTAGTCCAACAAGCTGCCTGCCACTTCTGTTATGGATAGCTTGATGAGAGTGTATATCGGGAGTGAAACAAGCGGACAGCTGCCAGATAAGATAAAGGATGGATGTCTAATCCAGTGGAACTTGCCCTTCACCGAACCACCGAGTCTTTGGATAGCCATGCCCCAAATACCATGACATGGACCTTACCTTTTTTTTTTTTTTTTTTTTTTTTTTTTGGTTTTGGTTTTGGTTTTTTTTTGAGACAGGGTTTCTCTGTATAGCCCTGGCTGTCCTGGAACTCACTCTGTAGACCAGGCTGGCCTCGAACTCAGAAATCCACCTCTGCCTCTGCCTCCCAAGTGCTGGGATTAAAGGCGTGCGCCACCAATGCCCGGCAAGGACCTTACTTTTATTTAAAAAACAAATAGCCACTGTTCACCCACGATTCATTTTCAACCTAGAAAGTTGTGATTCTATCGATATTACTCATGTAGATTACAAGCCAATCTAAGAGGCACCGAAGAGGCTGGAATCGTGAAGGCCCATAAGAGGTACCCACTACTTTCTGTCCATTAAAGAAACACCCTTCTTTCCATTTCTTCTCCCCTCCCTCTGACCCTCCTCGGAAAGTGTTGGTTGTTTTACAATGCACCACACTCTAGTTAGCGATGGGGCATAGCAGTGGGCCAGCAGGAACACAGATTGTAATAGAAAACTGTGGGGATTTGTGGCACCTGCTTCTCAGGCATCACACCATGGTAGCCTCACACACAGCCCTGTAAACTATGGGTTGACTCAAAGAAATAATGACAGAGGCACAGTGCTGCACTTCCCAAGGTCCCACCGTCTCTGATCTTCACTTACGCATTACCTCATACCATGGTCCCATGGCAAACATGGTGCTGATACCTGGAAATAAGCTGAACTAATGACCAGAACAAAAGTTGACCATGAAGGCCAGCGACAGACACACAACTCGGGGACAATTTGCTGAATGGAGCGTGTAGTGGGGACCCTTCCCTATCCCAGGGAAACAAAGATGGTGGGAACTTGTTCTGGGCAGCCATTTGGCTGCACAGGTCACCCACCCTAGCTTCCGACTTCACCCCATCCCACCATGCTGAACCCCACTTTTGTATCTGTAAAATGGGGATATCATGACCTACTCACAGGAAGGATTTGAGAATTACATAGATGTGAGTACTTTGCCTAAAGCCTGGTATACAGGAAGTCCAGGAAAGTAAGTCCTGGAAGGTCTCTCAGCCCTTCTCCTGTGTCCTGAAGCACAGAGAATCTTAGAATCTGCGGTCTTCCCAACTGACTAATCCATGTCCAGATAGTCGTACCCCTTGCAAACCTTATCCTTTGTGGTAGCTGTGCCAAAACTATCACTGATTGGCTGATCGGCTTCTTCCTATGAGTCAGGAATGGCCTCGCTTGGTATTCCTCATTTCCTTATCATCCTCCCAGTAACACGCAGTCAGCAAGGTGGGCGTTCCAACCTTAAGCCCCCCATGGGTCTATGCAATCCTCATCCAATATCTTCTGCCTTTGGTATCCTCCTCCTCATCTGAGTTGAGGGTCCACTGTATGACTGACCATACAGGGGAAAGGCTGGAACATGTGGGTAAGAGGTGTTCCAAAGACAAGCGTTTCCCAGGGGCTTCTAGGAAACCCCATCTGTAAACGAGTCACGGTTCCACATGGCCCAGTGGCAGAAATGCTTTGGGAGAAGTGTGTCCTTGTGCAGTTCCGATATTGCACGGACATCAGAGTGAGCAAAGACGGCCATGACGTCACTCGTGACGTCACTGAGTGCTGGGTCTCAGAGAACCCTCACAATACCCAGAGTCAGATGTTGACCCAAAAGAGTATCACACAGAAATATGTTGAGATGTATAAAGTATCAAACGAAGACGTTACTTGAAGCCACATGGACATGGGTATACATCACCCTGACTCTCAGGAATACACTTTGGGCAAACAAGATAAGATGCGATCACGTGTGTTCAGCACGGTACAACCAAAGGTGAGGACGGCGTGAAAAACGGGGTCATGTAGGATGCTCTGACCCTTCCCAAGAGACAAGAACCAAATGAGGGATTTTTTATATTTTTTTTTCCGTTTCTTCGGAGTGATCTGCTTTACCTCGCCGTGCACGTCACCCCACCGCGGTTTTCCCCTCATATGGACTTCTGAATGCTCCGTCTTGACGTGTGTAATTTGCCACTTTAATATAGATCAACGTTGTTTTTAATTTACCCCAGTCAGCCGTCACCATCATCCTTTCATTTAAGCAGACGTGATTTTTTGGTTTGTTTTTTTTTTCTTCTTCTTCTTCTTCTTCTTTTGCTAAATTGAAACTCCGTGAGCGACAGGGAGTGCAATGTTTTAATTAGCTCATATTTTTTATATGGATTTATGTCTTTAAAATACATTTGTGTAATTCTTCAGCTAAATTAAAAACGTCTTTCTGCAAAAGCAAGGAGGGGAAAATAAAGAGTAAATTGCGTCATTAGGTTGTGAACACTGGAGAAGAGGGGGAGAAGCCAGCTGAGGGGCACAACGGGCAGGTTTCCAGGGGTTGGCTCTCCGAGATCATTTTGAACTTGCCCTTCATTTAATGAAGTCTTTCTCTATAGAAGCATTTAAGGGGGAAAAAAAAGGCTTGGGGAGGGAATTTTTTTCAAGGTCCCTCGTAAGTAAACAGGCAGTTAGCTACCTTCCACGAGCTCATTTGAAACCCAACCTGCCGCCAAACATAACAGAAAAATAAGAGTCACAATGATAAACCGTTTTCCTCTGCATTTCTCTCTTTGTCTGTTTTTTTTTTTTAACTATCAAGTTTAAAGCTTTCCACGATGCTTTTTTTTCTACTTTATGGGAGACAAGTGACATTCCATGGTAAATGCGAGAAAAAGCCATGCAGAACTGAGATCTCTCTAATGCACTGACACTAACTTGCCCTCTATTGTTGGAAATGAGCAGGCGCCCATGATTGTTCATCAAACAGCTCCTAATGCTGTTAAGGCATTCAGCTATAATTTCTCCTTGCATTTATAATTACTGTCATAGGCTGCACACCTCGGTGAGCAGATTAAAGCTATAAACTATTTAGCCGCGGCTCTCCGACGAGGGACTTGATTTGTCTGGCAGGAGGTATTTGTTAGGGAGCTTGACACTTCACATAAAAACGACTCCACTTGATGAAGAACAATGCAGTATGAGCAATGCAGGGATTTTAAATCAGTGGGGATGCCACGCCCCACAAGAATCACAGGGCAGTTTGTTAAATGATATGTAGGCCAGGGGGTGTGGGATGCTCTTGGCTTCCAGAAGAGAGGATCCACTGCTCAGCTCTTCTCTGGGAGATGAGGAGTTGGTGGGAAACCAATGTGTTTCACGTCTCCCAGTGAACCCTTTGTAAATGTTATAGAAGGCTCACCTGGCACAGGAGGTGGATGTCAATACCCCAAGAAACACAAAACTCTATGGCTGAAGGGAGTATGCACACTCGGGAGGTTTCTCAGAGTGTGTGGGAGATAGTAGGTGACCTTTCTTCCCTCCTAGAACATCGTGTGTGTGTGTGTGTGTGTGTGTGTGTGTGTGAGAGAGAGAGAGAGAGAGAGAGAGAGAGAGAGAGAGAGAGAGCTTCTATGTACATGATATATTCAAGTGTGAAGTATGTTTCCATCAGACAGATTTCTTGGCTTTCACTTGTAAAAGTAACAAAGATATTTTCCAACTTGGCTATCTTGTAAGTTACTTCTTAACCAGGAACTTTTAACCTGTGA